TTCGTTGTTATCGCTTTATTCTAGAGTAGTTCTATCGATTTCCCGTCAAAAAAAGAGTACCCTAACTTTTTTGTGAATGGTGCCTTTAATCTGGCCCCGCGGAATTCATGATCGTTCCAAGTGTCCCAAGTCTGCCCAACCGAAATAGTATGTAATAGAATGACCAGTCAGAGTGGTGATGCCTTGTTTCCCTTTTCAGCAGGTTGAATTACATTATTTCACTTTACCACTTCAAAAGATGAAGCATCAGTGACGAAGTTGAAGAACGAAGAAGAAAGCCTCTGGGCTTTAATCAGTCCCGTCTGATGGATGTTCCCCCATTCGACTTCCATTCAGAATCGTATGGAATGCTCATGTGGCTAATACAAAGACTTGCGGAGGCCAGCCGATGTGCAAGTCAGCACTTTTATCCTCCCAGACGAATCTGCTGCCAATTAACTGCTGACAGAATGGGAGGTGTAGTTGGCCTAGGCGAATATCAGTCCGGAATTGGAACCCGTGAAATGCGTATGTCATAATGCAGTACTTGCGAATAAACCATCTTCTCCCTCTGTGACGAAGATAGCCAAGGGTAAAAAATGAAACGGCTAGAGCTTAATAGTCAACTACTTCTATTTTCTAATCGGCCACCAACGTTTTAACTTGGAACACCACTTGCATAGTTGCAATAAAAAGATTATTTCAGGTGACATATTCCACATCCAGCAGCGATGCGGATGATGTGAAATTAGCAATAGAATGTGTGAGCGGACAGCTGAATGTTATGGAATGGAGAACGCTGATTCCCATAATATATTTTACAGTGCCCCTTGTTCCTTTTTATATTATTGTGATTATTCTCAGGCAACTTACTATTCTGAAGTTACGCTCCACAAGGGCTTTATCGGACCGTAGTCGCCAACTTCACTCGCAGCTGCTAAAGGTGAGCGCTCATTTACAACTTTTGTTAATGTAGTTATTACCCAGCCAGTTCGCTCGGTTACTGATAATCGTCATAAACTCACAGTCGAACTGTTGTTCCAAACGAAAGGCTAGTACACCTCATTCAACAACGAATTACTCAAAACTAGAAAAAGTTCGCTTTGAATATCAATTTGCTGTGAACTTGGACATTTAAGGCGCTCACTGTTCAAGCCATCATGCCTTCGTGCGTCCTTATTAGTGGTATACTTTACGGAATTGGTCAACTGAATATTTATCGCAGTCCGTATCTCGAATACAGCACTTCTATTTTACTTGGATTCCTTGCGATGTTGAACCCTCTCACATCCCTATACTTCTTCCGTCCATACCGCGAGTTTATAAAAAGAAGTATATCGAAGGCAGTATTTGCTATAGCCGAAGGGTAGACAGACAACTTCAGCTCTTTTGGAGAGTGGAGAGGGCAATCAGTCTACTAGATTCCGATATTCAAAGAAAGTCTAAATGTTGCATATTGAGTGTTTGTCGAAAGATTCCGATATTCAAAGAAAGTCTAAATGTTGCATATTGAGTGTTTGTCGAAAACCAAGTTATCTTCAGTATTGCTTTCAGATTTCATCTATCATAATCCGTCATAATATTTCATACTTTCACCAAACTTGTAGATGGTTTACCTTTTTGAGTGGTAACCCTAATCAAGCAATTAACATGAACTCATGTAGTTCCATCCTTTTCTTCTCGAATGAACCGATTGTTTCGATATTCAATTGTTGTTGGCTGTCACCGTAATTCAGTACGCTCCCGAGTACGTGACCTAACTCATTATTAATGTGGGCGCATGTAACTACTAATTTATGTATGTACGCTCTTCTCGTGCCCGTACTATCACTTGTGCTACTGTCAAATAAATGTCAAGATCCAAACTATCAAACTTTTTCCAAAATCTGCAGAAATTTCAGTTCTGCAAGGACCACGTCATGTTTGTTTGCTTTTCAGGAGTTAATTTTTTCGAAGATCTCACACTTATGTTTTTACATCACAACTTTGATATTTCAAAGCCAGCGCAAAGATGTATCGAAAGTATATCGAGCCCGATATTCTACGTGTTAATGAGCGTCCTTTTTCATATTGACTCCTCTACTGCTATTCTCCGAAGTTGGGGAGTTATGGTTGTAAGGGGGCACCCACTGAGCTTCACCTTATCTCCTGTCTGATCCGTTTTGTTATCTAAAATTTTGGGAAAAAAATTCATTCACCTCTTCACGACTCGACAACAAAAAACAATGCTGGGCCGGCGCATGAGTGCAAAGCAAGATTGAAGATGCACTGACAGATTTGCAAGTCGATGGAAGGTGATGATATAGAAATTCCATGGATAAAGGTCAAACAGTAGATAAGACTGTCAGAACGCTCATCGAAAGTTCCCCAACCTTTCCTGAGCTGCTGACGAAAGCACAAAGAACCACTAATGATTACTAGAAATTCCTATATATTTCAAATACATAGAAAATACATGTTGTCTACACGTCTACTGTTTGATTTCGAAGATTTGATAATTATCAATATTATATCATAAGATTAACAAAGATCGGCAATGATTCGTTCCGGATGAATCCAGACTTTCCTGTTACTGTATCAGTTTTCCGCCATACTTCAACTCCAATTCAGTGCTTGCAGGTCGTCCCTGTGACTGTTTTGTGAGAAGAGCGGTCTTGCGGAGGCGAGAAGCAGCATATCTGAAAAGCAGGAAATTCACTAATACTTGAAAGTAAAGGAGTGGTCGTAAGAAGCTGCAAAAGATTGTTTGAGAGTTCGATCACGGCTGAGAATGGCCATCAGAAAAAGGTTGGATTCGTGTTAGAACTAACAGCCGCTTTAACACGCTCAAAGAAATCGCTTCTCCTAAGTACTTCAAATTTTGTCTATTTCGAGGTACCAGAAACCGATAAGACGTACTAGGGAGAGTAGGAAAGCAGCTACCCAAGTGACCAATTATTGAATTTCGTTGACCCAAACGAAGGGTACTATCGCTCAATTTCGATATATCGCTATACAAATCCGAGTAGAAAACCCATTATTATAGGTAGAATGTGATCACACAATTCATCTTTATGGAGCCCTCTACATCGCGCTTTTGCAAGTCGCAGAGATCAGATCATTCTAATTGACTGCTTAGCCTCAGTGAGTTGAGCATTCTCCTGCAGCGTCGTAATGAACTCGAAGGACTAAAGGTGGAAAATGATTTGCTCGTTGAACTGAAAAAGTCACATCTGGTCATAGCCTCTCAAAACCCCACGTCGCTAGTGAGCCACTTACTCATCTTCAGCTCCGGCAATGAAGTTTATAGGAAATTACAACAAACAGCTCACTTGATTGATTCCCGTCGTCGCACCATTTGAGGATCAGATGCGAGGAACCGATGTGACAACGCCTCATCCGTTCGCATTCGTCGCCTGAGTTAGTAGTATCATATGTGGATTGGACAATTATTAATCATAAAGTTCATTCTTCTAACATTTGCAGGGCCAAGGCCCTATAAACTGATGAGAAAATCGCCGCCGCAAGGGGCAGCTCTCTCTCTGGTAGTTTCTGAATGCACAACCCTTACCCCAAAACTTTCCCGAAACTAGGACTTTCCTGAAAAAATTCCTCTCTACATTCAAAATTCACTCACAATGGATTCTTCTTCAGTGCCCAAGTAACGAAGCTCAGAGCTTCTTGACTGGCGTTTACGGGAATCAGATTCGGGTCGCATTTCACGTTTATCACATTCTCCTTGATCTCTTCTGGCAGATCGTATTCAGATGTGAATGGATGAAATCCTGCTAGTCTGTAAACATTCTCCATTTACTGCTACTCATGGATGTCGACAAAAACTTTTTCACACAAGTAGAACACCTACAGGCAGAAAGTGATCACTCCAAGACCCCATACATCACTTTGCACAGTAACAGGTGTCTCTTTAATGTGAAGTTCTGGAGCCGCCCATGCAGTATCCAATTCTACTGGTTTCACTGATTCCTTCGTGAACTGAAACAATGAAAAATATGGACGTGGGCAAGAGAACAGACAGTAAGGGGGAGGGCAGCAGCGGAGAGGAGAGGCGGGAGAGGGGGGGGGGGGGGGGGGGGGGGGGGGGGGCAGGGGGAGAGATAACGACTGTAAATCTGTTGGAAGGTTGATTCGTGGGAGAGGGAACTTCAGAATTACAGACCATGTTCCAAAACCCCTTTCTACCTAAACAATAAGTCCGTCTCCCAAAAGATATAGGTAAGGATCTCATAAGTAGATAAAGTAGTGGGACAAGAAAAGCGGCAAGGGAGGGTAGTGAAGGCAACGCGGCGCAATCTGTGAACACTGAAGACTCCCATACTTAACTTTTTCTCCCACGCTTCCCTCCCAATCTTCTGAAAGGGAAAATGTTAGAGCCACTTAGTAAGGAACCGATGCAGGCGATACATACCTGTGCACTGCCGAAATCGACCAACTTCACTATCCAGTTCCTCTTCGATTGGAACATCACATTATGTGGATTCACATCAAGATGGACAATGCTGAAATGAGCACCCGATTGGGAACAAATTGACCGACTACTCAGCTAAAGGTAGAGCTTACCCTCTAAAGTGTAACCAATGGAGAGCACTGGCTAACTGTCCGATAGTTAGTCTAACCTACAACACAAACGAAGTTATCACTGCTACGGCTATGCTGGCTACAATAGTTATCATTGCGCTTACTTGTTCTTCAGTATAGTAGTCGATTTGAATGAAACGTGAGAAAACGTCTTCAAATAACCGTTCGCAGAATAAGTATAGGAAACCGTTACTGAAAAATAACAGAGTACATATTTGGAATGAGCCAATTCTGAGACGTTCAGCTTCTGAAGGACCCTTTGGATCCGTTAAAACTGGCACTTGAGACTTACTTTTGATATGCCGCAATGAGATGCTGCACGTTTTCGTGCTGACCTTCTTTGAGTGTTTCGAATTCACGCATTACAGTTGGGTCACCTAGAACCATGAAAATCTTCTTATTCGGTATCCACATATTAAAAGAATAAAGTAATTCAAAGCGTTGCCAATAACGTGAGAGTATGGGCCGTGTATGCGGTACTGATTGAAAATCAAGACGGCACTTGAATGTATTCATGACTTTTGCGAAGGTCGCTCGAAATTCATGCCAATAATGCTTTGCTCCGTTCTATGTGGTCCACTATCTCGGATAGAAGCCTGGACTTCAGCCCCAGGGCTACCATAGCATTACTGGAGGCAGTGAATGTACCCACACCATACACCTCTCCATCTATCCCCCAGAACCAGCCACACTTCAGTGTTAAGTCATGAAAACCGGACTCGATTTTTTGTAGCTATTATGAATATAAGACCAAATTATGAAGGATCCTGAAGACCGTCCACGCGCTAGGCCACACCGACTAGGAAGCCTTTAAGGATGTTTTTCTAGTGCTTCAATTTCGACATTCACTACAGTATGATATCGTCTTTAACTTCTTCTGAATCCTCGTTCAAGGCAGTCTTAGGTTATTTTGCTTGAACACATACCTTGAAGTGATCTGATCTTCGCAATACAGTGAGCTCCAGCTTCTTTTTGTGAATCCACGGAATGTCTCAAAACCGAGAACTTTCCTTTGAACAGTAGCGATTCAATCTGTAACGGATTCAACATAAATAACTTCAAAATGTCTGTTTCTGTGTGTTCGCTGAAATGCCCCTCAACAAGTTTACTATGGAGGATGCGAACCGCATATGTCTACTAAGATAGACACCAGGACTACCAATTCGAGGTTACGGTGGGAAAACTTCGACAAAATATTTTCATAGAAGATTAAGGGGATTATGGGCAGAAATAAGATCATATCAAAAAAGAATTGAAGGGTGAGCCAGTCCTGAAGAAGAGGTTTTCAAAATTGTGTATGCAGCGATGGGAACACAACCTAAACAAAACACCATAAGACTATGGGACAGAGGGGGAAAACGGAGCTCGTTACTCTTTATTCCCTTCCTCCAGTCAGTCAGTGATGGCGTTCAAAACGACGTGTGGCTTACCTGGAACCTCTTCGTAGGATCATCATTGATAAGATCGTGAGAAGCGCATGGCTCAATGCGAGAGTGGTCTTCTTCGCTCTCTTCAGAAATCTCCTCAAGTTGACGGGAGGTCGTTTTCTGAGGCAACGAGAGTACATTGAAGCGGCATGCCTCCTTCATACCATCCAACGGCAATTTAGGAGCACCTGCAACAACTACCGGCAATGCAAAGATATAGCCCCCTTCTGGGTCTCCTGTCAACTGACCTCTTGCATTGGTCTGGACAAGCCGACTAATCAGACTTGGTGGTCCATATCCGAATCCATTTTTCGCTGTCACACGGAACTGATAAACTCCGAGAGGATTCAAATGGCGAACTACGGCTGCCTCGTCGTCGACGAAGTCACTAATCACTACCCATGGGGCCATATAATCGTTCACGTCTTAATAAAACATTATCAGGAAAAGCATCCAAGCAAACAAACGAAAACACAATAAAACAACAATAAAGGTATTATCCAGCTGCTCACCAGCGTTACGGTATTCAAGTCGATAAGTGATGCCTTCCAAATACGTTGGTCCTTCGGGAGCCTCCCATGACAACATTGCTTCTGTATCAGAGACGAGATCACATTCGGGACGTCCTGGACGAGATGGTGCTTCTGGAAATAGACGATTCATTCAAAATGAAGGGGACCTCTCGCATCGGTCTGTAAATGGCTTGATCGCCGTCTCTGTGTGACTCTGTAAATTACGTTATCTTTCATCCCTTTCCTTGGGGACTTTTTGCCCCGGCTCTGAACAAGCATGCCTTCATCTCGTTGCAAAGAAAGGGCTTATTAGTAGCCACGACCCACGAAAACTGTTAGGTTCAATTTTTGATTGAAACTGCATACTTTCAATTTCGAATCTTTATCGAGTTGTGAAAAAACGCCGAACACCTACTGTATGACTTACCTCCAGTGATGAGACAGCTGGTGGTTTTGTCGCTACCGTATTCGTTAGATGCGACACATGTGTATTCGCCGGTATCACAGCTGCTCGGACAAGAAATTGTTAACCGGCATACGGAACGACCCTGAAATTTGGTGGTTTTACTGTAATTATCGATAACAACGAAAGTTTGATGAAGAAAAAAATACGATCACTGATTTGTGGGTATTTTGATAGTCGAAAATCCTTCAACCATTCAAAACTGCCATCATACCTGCTCGATTTGGTATCTTCCACGACTCAGCAGAACCTCGCCTTGGAATTGCCATTCGACGTGCGGTGGTGGACTGCCAGTTACTGCACATTCGAATATGACAAATGGCTCCTTCTTGAGGTAGACGTCACGGAGACGTGAAACGAAGATCGGAGCGTATGCTGAAAACGGCATTTCAAACCTCTGAATCCGAAACAGTGGGAAGGCTCGTATAGGGGCACTTAGGGATAGGACGATGTTGAAATAGTCAACACATGTTCTCCGACAAAGGACCTGGTGAGACTCTTCGAGAGTTTTGTCAAAAGTGTAACGAATGTCGAGAGGATACATTCCGGAGCTCATATACGATTTATATTCTTTTGAATAATACATCGACAACATGGTTTGGATACGGTAGGAGTTGTAAGCAGAATTGGGCATGTCCGCAAAGGATGACAACTGCGATTGCGTCGCGTCGGCGGTTGCCCTGACGTCACCCGCTAATCAATGAATCGCGTTATGTACGGGCATGCCACAACACCAAGTTGATGAGTGATCCAATAGCTTTTTCAGAGATTTTTCACTTGGGCACCTAATTTGTCTTTTTCCTTACGCTATCAAAAGTAAACCCACTTCCATCAGCGTTTCTTCTTGTCGCGCTCGGAGCAACTTTCTCGATATCAGCTTTGATTCGTTCAATAGCGCTTAGGGATGGTGCTTTCTGAATTGCATTGGCGTGCTCATTTATCTTTGGAAGAACACCAGCCTGTTTCTCACGCAGGATATCAGTGTACCTGAAAGTATGGGAACTTTTTGAAGGAATCGATCGCAGCATCGAAAAATCTTATGGGGGCCCACCTCAACTCCGTTCCCCAGTACATAGCAAAGAAAAAAGAGATGAGTTTCAATATGGGGGTACCTTCTTCTTTCTCTGACTGTGATGTCCTTATTCCTAACTCCGAGGAAGCCTTGCCTAACCAGAGGGGCTCCTTCACCGAACAGAGTGCGGCGATAGTCGCGTACACGGCTATTGAACGACGGACCTTGGGTAGCCATCAAGTACGTATCGGGACCGATCTGAATATTTTCTGTAAAAATCGTATAAATTAAAAAAATATTGCTCACAACACAAGCTATCAGTTCCCCAGAATTAAACCACTACTCCAGTACGATTCTGAGGGCAAAAGCAGCGTTGAAACCAGAGTGGCCGCAACAGACAGGGACTGAGCGTGCGGCAGCGGCGCGGCCATAACGAATCGCAGCCCCGACGTACCTGGTAATGCGAATCCCATGGTGAATCATCAATATCGTAGCCTGGACCTTCAAAGTCAAGGTCTTCTTTGTAAAAGTGCTTTGGACGATATCGGTCAAGCTCTTCTCTATCAGCCTGAAAACATCCGAGAATTTCGTTCCTCTAAAAACAAAACCAACCGAAGAATGCTTGGGAGTGTTTATAAAATGACGATCTCAAAGCGGAATTTAATTAAGGTTGGAACAAAAAAAAAGTCAATTTCCATAAGGTGTACTGGCGTTGAACTTGGCGAAGTACAACTTACCTTACGGCGATCATCTTCACGTTTTAGTTTTTCACGCAAGTCTTGGAATTCGTCCTTGTGGGCCGTTGGTCTGGCCTGCAGGAGGGTTTGTTGGAAGAAGCATTATTTTAAAGCATTTAAGCACAATCAGATTAGTTATTGACCTTTTTCTTCCTTTCTTCCATCTTCGCATCTTCATCGTCGATTTCTGGGGCGATCTCACCAGGGGCCAGGAAGCCAGGTTTGCCGCGCTTCGTTGCGATTATCACCTGCAAGGAACAGTCAGGCTTGCAACTCTATCCGATGAGAGAGATAAAAAAATCTTTAAAGAGCTGGTGTCTCCAACTGAGGAAGGATTTGCTATTATATCTGCAAAAAAGCTACGATGTCTTGCTCCCATTCCCCCTCCGAAACCCATATATTGAGGTTGGGTCGATATTGAGGCTTTGCCTGACTGGTCCTCACACTGATATGGTTATTCAAAACCAAGAACTACGAAAACTGGGGAAACGTTCGTTGCGCGCCTCCGTTGAAAGTAGGTCATTCAGGTCTCGAGATGACATTACAGTACCACCAAGTGTCAGTGGAGCGAGCGATTTGCATTCGTCAAAGTTATCTTCTCATCGAGCTCACTGATCAGACCAAGCACAAATCGTACGCCCCACTGACAACTGCGACGTCCGTCAAGTATCGCGGACTGACCCGTCGCATGCGACAGCTGCGGTGTGACCTAGTTTCGACGGACGCGCGCAACGAAGCGCACCCCGAAAACTGACTAAATGGCACAACTAAATCAGTTTTATTGACTCAATATTTTCCACGTCAGATTCTTAGAAGGGAGAGACTGTTAAAGCTCGTAATGTGAATAAGCCGTGTAACAAGGAGAGGAAATGGACATCAAAATAAGCTTGACTATATTTTTTTAGAAGGAGAGTGGGTACAAGGATTTACTACTTACCTCCATGGAATGCTCTCGCCCAGGTGAAAGAAGCACCGGACTTTTCGTGCCTGGTTTAGAACGGCGTGGAGACAAACCAGATGGAGATGGCGTTCTTGGCCTAAAATAACTTCTATAACGCACGCCTCCATGAACTAGCCCTTCTATGATGCAAAGAAAAGGAAAGAAAAGAAAAAAGAAAATGAGAAAAAAAGAATTAATTGGCTATGACTACAGTTTGATTCTATGAAAGCTGGTGGGAATTGAGCCTTCAGCAAGGCCAAAGGAAGGGGTAGGGAGAAAAAATTTAAAACTGCTAGGAAATGAAACAAAGTTCCAACTTACTTAGATTCAACAACAACCAAATTCGAATGGAGATCTTCGAGGAACAGTGGGGCACCAACAGGAATGCTCGGATCGTTTTCAGCACGCTCGAGAATCTGAATGAAGATTAATTGTAAAAGGAAAGAACGAGGGGATCGGATTTACTGCAATGACTATTCCATTTCCCTTTGTTCTGTAAGAGTTCAGAGCACGTGTCGTTCATAACTGTTTTTCCATTTTCTTCTTTTTTATTAATTCGTTTACTTGATATCGCCAGCAGGGATGTTTTGTTAGGTATTGGTGTAACTTTGGATTTTTCAGTATGTCAGCTGCAGTGACGGCTGCACAAGGTAAGAGGAGATGGGTAGATGAGCTATCATTGCTGTCTTGCACAATCGGGAGTTACTTCGAGAAATGAGACACTTGATGAAGACCTTTAAATCGGGTCCATTGGCCTCACAATAAACCCAGTCAAGCTCTGGAGAAGAGGAAGATTTGAGCGATTTGAGCATGATAACAGAAACTTATTTTGTAAGGCATCCATCCAGTAAAGCAATCACGGGGGATGCTTGTCTCCTAGGCTCAATCCCCAGGGATCAAACTTGTAACGATTCTGTAGTATGACATTTTAACAAAGGAGAGCAAGCATCAGCACCAACTATACTCTTTATTTACCAGAAATAAACTGTATAATTTGGAAGTCATGCTCGACCTCATCAGAGGGGAAAAGGGGAAAAGTTGTTTCAAGCGCTGAATTTCTGAAACTTGTTTGGTTTGGTCACGATTAAATCAAACATTAGTCAGGATCTGGTCCATCCTATCACTCAGAAGGTACTTGAATCAAACTCACTTTCTCAGCTTTTAGTAGTTTCTTCTCGATGCTCCTATCGAGACAAGAAATCTTAGTTCTGGACTCTTGCGAGCCCTTTTTAAGAGGAGAAGTGGATAGAGTCATGGTCTGGGACAAAGACGGACTACCCGAATTCTGAATAGAGTACTGTATCGAGCACATTTCAGACGAAACCAAAAGAACGGGTTCAGAGCATTGGCAAGAGTACTCTTGGAATCTAGAAGTGCATCACCGGTTTGAGAGGTCTGCTGAGACACAAGTACACTAACAATGAACTGATTCAAAAGCCAATCAATAAAACTGGATTTATTCCAAAACAATCTTTTGAGAAGACTTTCTAAAACAGGCTCCATGAATACCGAGACACTTGTGGAAATACAAAGGAGGACTAGATTGATGACAAAAATTCGATCGGGTTCATAAAATCGATAACCTAGAAGAACTGCGGAAGGGTAGGCCGCCGAGTGAAGTGGCACACGCGTCAGCAGCGTATGCGAATAAATAGAAGAAGAGCCGAGCAAATAGTTATCACGGATTAATTGTTTTCAAGAGCAGTACATCAGTGATGGGAACAGATCGACATATCCCTACGGTAGGCCCTTAATGATTTCTCCTTGTAAAGTTATAACAGCAAAATGCTATTTAGTAAACATGATGCCGTTCTGTAAACGTAGGTGTTCCTCCAGTTACTGTTGATCCTCGGATACCTCGTGAAGTCACTCTTGCATTGATCGTAATACCCCCTGACTTGTTCTTCATTCAGGACCCCAGTGGCAAACGTGCTGCCCTTCCATGTACAGCTAGCTGTGTGAGAATGCCTCAGCCACCAGTACTTATTTCATTCTCGAGGTGCTAGCTGACTTCTCTGATTGTCTGGAACAGAACTGCCTTATTTCGGTCCGTCTATTCATCTTACGATCACAGATTTGAGCCGAGGCCATCTCTTTTTCCCATATCCTTTGTTACAGGTCTCCACCGACAGTGGATATTTTAGGCAGGTTTTAGGCCCTAATTGCGCCCACCTAAGTCGCACTTCGACGGAGCAACACAATATGTCGTGCCGCTGCGGATTGGAGACTTTTTTCAGTCAGAAGGATACCACTGAAACTAGTCAGTCGTGAACTTTAAGTTTGAGTAGGCAAAAGCGAACGGTGTGTTCGTCCTGAAGTTAAGACGAGGAACTCACCACATAGAATAAATGAGAAAAAATTGATTGAATCGATAAGTGAATCGATAACAATCATTTGTAATTCGTTGGTGAAGTCACAGTAATGAAGCCCATATTGAACTACTGATCGCTATATATCGGAATGAATTTCGCAGCTGTTTTTACTGTATTTTTGAAATCATTATTTTGTATTGATTGTTGATTGTTGCAATGGTTTCCACCGCAAAGCAATTCACAAACGAACAGCCTCAGTGTTAGGCACTCAATCATGAGTGTTTTTCACTTTTTGCTGGTGTCAGTGAGGGCTGCAGAACGAAAACTAATAGGTTCCTGAACGCATCTTCCCCAAGCAACGAGAATCGTATTAGCGTTTTGGATTAGTTCACTGCAGTCACTGGGTGCAGTCGGCTTGGCAGCTACGCGACTGCACGCTCGGTTGTCGCGTTTAGAACTAACTTGAACTTGACTTGAACGAATTAAGTATAAGGGCGGTCAGAAAAAAAACATAAATTTTGCAGGCGCCCACCCATGCTATCTTCCGTAAAATCACCACGAACCTCTATATCTTCTTTTGGTAAATCTCCAAGGAAATCGCCTTCTTTGATGGTATTCACCGGCGACACCGTTGGTGTGGATGCGTCGGACTCTGCACGTGGTGTCGTCGATCGAGATGGTGAACGTGCCGCTGGTCGTGGTGGCTCTGGCGGAGGCTGAAATAAATTTTCGTCATGGATTAAAAACTAAAACTTCTTCGGAAGTGCTAATAAAGGGCTAACAATTCAAACCGTTGGCCGCTTGCTGACTGGCTCTGATTGAAGAAAATCTTAGGGATTTTCAGTTCCTCTTTGTAAATCGCTTTAGTATTTTCAATTTGTAAGCCGGTTGTACCTATAGAAACAACTGTTTATTTTTATTTTATTTCTGAACTGTTATGTGAAATGTTTTATTTCACGAGCTTGATGGAATAGGAAAAATAGAATCCTCAACTGATCGGAAGACCAGGGTGATGCCAGGCCAACTTTAAATTTCTTAGTTATTTCTTCTTATCACAGATTATTCATTCAGAGATCCAAGGGAAGCGCTTATGAGGGGTCCCAAAGAAGAGATGAGAAGCTGTGATCAAGGCGGACCTCACCTAGGTAAGGTACATACTGAGGATGCCATAGATAGAAGAAAGTGGCAACCAATTACAAAACGCCATACCCGCTAGCAAGTGGAATGAAGGCTAGGGAGAAGAAGAAGAAGAAAGAGATTAATAATTCCCATCGTTCTGGGCAGTTGGGCAAAAAAGCGTACCCATTTTGGCTGGGTTAGAACCGTTCGATGGAGTCGCAAAAGCAACTTAAAGAGAAAGAGCTCCGCCGGAAAAAAAAAACAATGAAAAAGCGTATCAGTGAGCCGAATAAAGTAACCGACAAAAAATGAAAAACAGAAAGCAAAGCATAACCTACACATTATATGAGCCTATTGGTGATATAGATACCTTTTTGCAACATTCGCACTAACTCTCGACGTCAGGTGACCGAAAATCGGGAACATTTTACATCTTTTCACAACATATCTATTACGCATAGCTTACTGTATGGCTATCCAATTAAGCAGCTCATAAGAGAACATCAAGAAAATGGAAAGAAAACTAAGACGTTTAAAGTCTTGAACCGAGCAATGAATACGATAGAACGAGCTGAAAGAGCCTTCGTAAAGAGCCTAGAACATATGCGTGACAGATGATGTCAAATGTTACGAGAAATCCGCTACAATAAAAGTATTACACTGATGTCTTCTTCCATCGTAACAAGAAAAATTCGAACATTTGTCTTGGTTTTATTTACTTTTTTGCATTTGCCCTACTTCTAAAAAACAGGTGGATGGCTGGCTGTATAAGCTTGAGTATGAGGGTGAGATGAACATTTTCGAGTTCCCAATAACTGTGTACCCATGCATGTGCATTATCCGAACCGCTGGCAAGGTCGACACTCAAGAGGGTTTGAATTACGTGAACAGCTTTTTCGAACCAATTCGAGAGGAGTAGAATTCTGAGTGGAGGCGATGTATTGACAAGTAACGCACCATCAGACGCGTGATCCAGGGATCGATTCCCGATTTGATAACCCGACATGCCATTCAAATCTCCCATCCGCTCAGAGTCGATTAATTGGTACCCGATTCGTCTGGGAGATAAAAACACTGGTTTCATGGCACCACGACTCATTGCGGAGGCGAACTTTAACAAATTTAGAACACCGCTGTGATCTGAGCCTTTGTCGGATGCACGGTGCAACCTTACAGGGATTGCTCAACACCAAAAGACGATCCTCTTGTCTTTTCTTGAGCGTCATACTTTGATGACTGAGCTCCAGGAACGCCCATTGACCCGCTTTATAAGCCATCGGTATGAAAACTAGTGAAATAATAAGCCAAAAATGTCCAGGAGCAAACTGTGGGTTGAGGGTGGGATGCTAATTAAGTCGCACACTAAGGTCTTCTTTGAGAACTATTTTGATCCCAATAAGGTTGGCGAGTAATAGGCAAAACTCCGGCGTCAGATGGAACTGAAATCTCATGCTGGTACCGTGTTCTTCATAACTTACACTATCGAGATCCCCCTCGCCCTCATCTTCTTATTTGAATTCATTCGAGGTTGACCGATAGACTAGGAGATACTGAAGACCCTAGCGGCTTTTCAGGGGTGGAATGATTCACCACACATTTTCATCCCTTCAGGAATCCAAAAGCTTTTCTTTACTTTAACTACTTTACTGACTATTCACAAAATTTATAATGCTTTCACTGCAGAGATATTTATTCAAAAAAATGTTTTCGCTCAGGAATTCATAAATAAATCAATCCCTCAAAAGCAAGCTGGCAGAAGTTCATATCAATCATGTCAAATGTTCAGCAAATGAAGTTTACATTGATATCACGTGAAGCTCATCGAGTGAACCAGAAAGGACTTTTTTCACTGGACCAACTATTCACTAACTTTGTTCCCAGTTTCTTCTATCTACCTTTCAGTTGAACTCTAGAAACATTTTGCTTAATGTACTCCTGTCTAGGAAATTCGCTCGAGCAGGTACATAGTCAGAGGGAGGACTCCTCAGAAACTCACAAAGGCTACATAGGCTAGGCTTGTCTATAGACTCGAACGGAATGGGATACTCAACTTATTCTACGGAAAGTGTGCGACATCGTCGAGCACTTCATTTCTTTCCTTCGCATTCAAGGAACTCTGCAAAGCACCCACCTTTTTAGAGGCTGCAAACAATGCCTCGAGATCATCTACGCTGCCTAAACTGCCGGAAACGGATCCTTCTTCAGAAATGTCGGACAGGATACGGTTAGCGATTTCTTCTTGGATGTCGCGATGTTCCCCACGGATCATTCGCAGTGGTACCTGGGCAAGGTAATACATCAACCAAGTCATCTAGGCAGATATGACTTCTTAAAAAATGAACTGAAATGACTTAAATGAACAAAAAAACCAGAGACGGCAATTTCTCTAAAGGTTTCAAAAATTTCATAATTTGTAAAGAGCAACTTGGATGGACGAGGGGAAACAGCCAATCTACATATATTCTTCTTTGACCTCGCCCCATCTTTACAGAAAAACTGAATACGAAAAATGGGTGATGATTACAACAACATCAAGGGGCACCTTCCAGAACCAGGTCGATACGTAGGCGTAGGAAAAAGGAGGGAGAAAAAGCAAGAAAGAGGAGAAGGCCACAACATCAAAAAACATGGAAGATAAGGTTCCCGGCTCGTAAACTGCACCACAGCATCGGCACTTGAAGCTACTGCTAAATCTCGCTGCACGAGAAAACTACCTCATGTAACTTCATGAACCAACCAGCCACCATTCCATCAACAGTGAAACATGGTTGTCTAATAGAGGAAAAGACTCGTGAAAAAGTAAAAGGAACCAGATGGCACTCACTTGTGGCAAGGTGGGATCCTCAAGATCATCTTCGTAGGTCCGCTTCATCTCTTTCTTCGATGGAGTTTCACCTTTAGCCTGTGGTATAAGTTTTTTCTTCTCCTGTGCGTTGTAGTCAGGAGGTGGTCGGGTTTGTTCTTCTGCAATGATTTTGAGTAGAATCTCGAAATGGGAGAAACTCTTTTAAAGAGGAAACTCGAATGATCTTACGAGATTTCTGAGGTGGTTGGATGGGACGTCCAAAGCGATCTACAGGAACTTGTCCAGACTGCTGTAACTGAAAGTACGGATCAGATAAGCAAACTATGAGCTCGTGACATAACAATACAACCGGAAATCAACGAGGGATCGATAGTGGGCCACGATAAATCATTTAAACATCTTGCCCCGAGGGCTTACAAGATGCACGCTGTCGCAACACAACAGAAAACACCGTAAGTTTTGAGCCCAGCTTTTTAAGAAAATAAAACTATTGGGCTTAGAAACCCATAGGGTAAGAATGCTGGTACTTAGTGTGTATCTGCCAGGAATTCCAGAGGACCCGAAACTTTTTTTTAATTCACAGTTGATCAGTTTAATTCGTGACCCCATTAGTTTTCATGCTCATCCACTACCCTAGTAACCACTACTCATCGTAAATTTCTATTCTAGTACCATTGAATGGAAGTTTTTGAACTATCATCCAGAATAATGCTCAAGCCAGCTCAAAACTTTCGAAATAAAAAAGTATTTCTTGAATAGTATCGACAATTATTTTCCGCTACTATAGAAAGTCTTTGCAAGCAGTACCCCCATACTCGCTCTAACCTGATTTTCTTCCCATGTTTGAAGATGGGTGTTAAACTTTAACCTAATCAATCACAAAAAAAAACTTAAAGAAACCTTTCTTAGCTCCTCTGGCGTTGGTACCATACGCCCGAGTTGATCAGGCGCCAATCGTTGATCCAAGTCTAGAGGCCTTCCAAATGAATCGTGTGGAATACGGGCCAAATCTTCTGGACGGAAAAGTCGTCCTGAACAGACACTACTGTATGAAGCTGCACTATAGCCATACTACTTCGTAGCTATATAGTTCACAGCAATAGTATTTTATTAGAAGGTGAGGAGAAAAGTATCTAGGCTACGTTGTAAATCAAAGTAATTAAGAAAGTAGTAAAAGTAGTAAGAAAGTAATTTTCAGGCACAAGAAAAAGGGTGATGGGTATCACAGTCGAAAGGCAATAACTGCAATCGATTCTCTGAAGGTAAGTTGATTACCTGAATCCTGAAGATCCACACTGTCAGCTGTAAATTCGATGTTCAATATTTTCAGGTGAATTAAATTAAATGTAATTTTTATAATCCATCTGCCTTTTCAAGATCTAGACAGCCTTACCGTATTGGTCGAGTGGGATTTTCTTGGGCTGAATAGGTCGTCCGTGTTGATCAACGGGACCAGGAGAACGTCCTTGTTGTCGTCTGGGATCGGCGAGTCGAGGATCTCTAGGATCGACAAATTGCTGATTTCGTGGATCCCTAGGGTCGAAATAGGGCTGTTTTCGAGGGTCGAATCCTTGAGGAGCAGATGGATCGATGTGCTGGAAGAGAACTCATTTCAAAAAATTTCGAAAAATCCTGGAGAGTCAGGCTACCTTTGGCTGAGCAAACTCCCGTCGCCGTTTAGGCACTTCTTCGATAGGTGGCGGTGGACGTTCTTTAACTCGTAGATAGTCGTAGATGTCAACGGAACTGGCGCTTTCCGCAGCCGGAGCCTTTTGTGGCTCTGCGGTTATGAAGGATGGTGCCTGGAATTTTTTTCTAAAAGATTTCAAAAGGAAAATCAGAAATTCGAAGCTAAGGAAAAGTCCTTGAAAACGGCTGCTTGAAAACAGAGGCGTCATAAATTCAGTTCCAGCCCGCCTCCAATGTGTAGCTCATTTCGAGTGGGCTTAAAGAAATGGAAAAATGGTTCGAGAGAAGGAGTCAGAGAACATACGTAAATCTACACGGAAAAAGCACACGGATACGAAGTTTCCTTTGAAATGGTACGCCTATTTCATAAATAAAAAGGACACTTTCGAAGCGCCTACTGTATTGCGCGTTTTTACCTTTAAGCGAAAGAACAAATAGAATTTTATAACTCAAATATTATCTGATATTAATATCAGTAACAATAATATTACTAATAATTGAAAGCATATGGTTCCTGAGCCTCAGTTCATGTACAAGGAGTGTTTTCGTTGGAAGAAATTTGATGCAAAGGAATGATCAGCGGGAAGCAAACAGGGAAGATTACCGTAACTATTCTACTCCGGTGTTACTGTAGTAAAATATATGGGTTATAGTCCCTGTTAGTGCAGTTTTTGCTTCGAAAGCACCGAACTAATCTAGACACTTCACAGCAGGGTTTTCTACTTATCCCATTGAAAATTTTTATTTTGAAACAGTTTGAAGCAAGGTCATATAACTTTTTTATTACATGATAAAATCAAAAATAAGAAAGAGCACCGTCAGCATTGTTTACATTACTCATTCGAAAAAGAAGTAGCACCGCCTAAGTAATCATGAAGGCTGACGAAAACTGTGGAGGAGGATGATAAGTGTTAATCAATGCAAACCTCATGGACTAGACCTTGAGATATGAGCCTCGTTGTGGAGAGCCTATTGAACTTGATGGGGGTGTTGTGCTGATTGAACAGAATCGATACAACATAGAGGAGCTTCAACTTGAGATATGAGCCTCATTATTAAGGGCTTGTTGAGCTTGATGGAGGTGTTCCGTGCGAACGCTCACGGAAAAGGTCTCTAATCGTACCAGTAGAAAACTGCTGGGAATCTGATTCGGTTAGCAACTTCAGCCCGCTCCTACGGCAATGCTCTAAAAGTTCACTAGGGTAGTGGTATACTGCCGAAAAGGAAAAGTTTGGCTACACAAAAGGGTACTTGTACGAAAAATAAAAAGGAGTTGATTTTAAAAGAATTTTTGAGCCCAGTGATTTTGTCTTCTCTCTACCCTCACAATTACATTTTGAATAGAGGCTGCGGGTTTATATGCTACCTATACATTATACTAGTTGTGGTGCACTCAACGGAGTGTATAAACAAATAAATAAATAAATAATGAATGAATAGGAGACAGAGCTTATTAATTATTAGGCAACTGAGCATTAGATTATCAGGTCTGCCTCAGCGTACAGAAATATGAGGCTGAAAATTATCAGTCTGATCGACAGCATCCGAGGATTGGCAGAGAGTTATTTTAGTATGAAAACAGCAGTCACAAACTATTGATAGCTTTCAGACAGGAGGCAAACAGTCGCAGTTAATGAGGATAAAAACACCGACTGCTACAGGATGAATGCGCTCAAAAACAAAAATTTGAACGAAAGTCTTGAATATGAGTTTAAAAGCCGAAAAACAAAAGCGCACAGGTACTTATTTATTTATTTATTTATTTAGTTTGCACTCTTGGTGCGCCCGAACAATCCAGAAAAGTATAAAGTAAGGCGACGAAAGAACGAAACAATGCAGACAATACTTGTAAAACGAAACAAAGCAATAGT